ATAATATTTTATTAATATATTGAAGATAAGATAATAAAAACATACAATTTTTAAATAAGTATGAAACACAATCGCTCTGTGTGGCTCACAACACATAATATGAACACAGTGGCATAGCGAGAGGGGTGTTTTAGTGTTCAAACACCCCCCCCCCTTTAAAAATATTTATGCCAGAAATTAAAATTTTTAATATATGCAGTTATGCATCAGATTTCTATAAAATGTGTTGTATTACGCATAGAAAATTATTATTACGATGTTTTTGCTGAAAACTAAATATATATTATACAGTGGTGATAATGTATTATAATCATTTTATCAAAAAAAAAAAAAAGTTTTGTACATGTGTTCTTGTGACAAAATATTGATCCCTCATGATAATAATATAATAATGGCACTAGTATACAGAGACAATTGATCTCGTTGGCTAGGAGCTTTGATAAATACCATGTCTGTTAATTTTTGATTTACCTAACACGTAAATCTATTGTGTCAAAAGTACTTTTTATATATACGAATTCAATATTATTTTGTTTTACTAGGTAAATATCATATTTTGCTCTTGTATGTTATTATTTCCTTATTACTTCGGACTAAGGAAACATAATTTTCTTACGCTCGAGTACTAGGCTGATCGATTCGAAGCTTTTGAGTATTTTAATATAATGCATTGCCTTGTCATACTATTGTTTATAAAAAAAATTAAAAACATTGCATTGTGTTAAATCATTTACAGGGATTATTTAACGAAAAGAATAAAAAAAATTAAAACTGTAAAGGTTTTGTAAAACAAATCTAAAATTTAAACATTTTTTAAAAAGTATTCTCAAATTCATTAAGTCTATATCAACGTAATTTAAAATATTTTGTTTTATTTTTTATAAGTCAGTATATACGCGTTTTTTAATAATGCAAACAAATTATTGTATTATTGCTAATATGTAAACACATTATTAAAAATGATTAAGTGTAAGATTTTTAAGTTTTTGAATGGTACTTTAATAAAAAATACGAGTACAATATAGTTTTTTAAAATTTCTTATCCAAAGTCCATATATTCTTAAATCAGTATAAAATTAGTGATAAACTGATATCACGCAGTTAATCGTTATTAGATATAAATTTAGCGTAACGAAAGTTTTCGTGGTTTTTTTTTTAGCAGATAACTTTTTAAATTAATTTAGTAAAAAAGTTTTTATATAATTTAATGAACTCTAATTGTCCATTACCGAATTTTTCAGAAAAAGTAAAGCTGATGATATATTTTTAATATATTTATAGAACTTGTTAAAAACCGATTAAAGTCTAAAAACAATGGCAAAAGCAATTAAAAACAAAACCTATATTCGGGCGTTTTGGTAATTAGTATTATTATTTTTTAATTTCGGAGAAAGAAATGTTTGTCCGTTCTGTAAAAATAAATACTCGAAATTCGTGTATAATACAATCTATTTTGTATTAAAGGATTTCCCGAAAATGGTATTTATAATTTGTTTATGAAAGTAAGAGTATGGACATTTAAAATTAACTAATAAAACTAATTATGATTTTCGTTTAAATTTATTTGTCTTCGTGTATAAAAATACACAAGTAAAAATGATATTATATAAAACATATTTAAATTACCGAATTCAGGTTTAACAAAAAGACCATCAATTTTTTGGTACACGGTCAGAATATGTAAATGTATAATTATATTTATTTAATAATAAATTAAACTTTGAAAGAAGACGGGCATACTTCGCATGATGGGTGGGTAACAGTTCTAGGAGAGAAGTTAGGAAAGTAGTATATCGAGGGAATTTAATGTATTTCTGTACACAATAATTAAATATTTGCCAACGAAAACGATTATGACGTGGTCAAATTATCAAAAATGTTAAGCTGTTTATATAGATTTTTTTAATTTCGCGAATTTTTCTCGAAATTTTTTTCGGTAGATAGTAGATATTCTGAGGTCCATTATAATTCGTACATTGTGGTTGCTAAATCAAAAAAAAAAAAAAAAAACAATTTAGTATAATATAGAATTTTTATTTTTCATTTGTTTACCACATTGAAAACTAATATATTCCTTCTTCCGCTCAGAATCTAAAACAAAATTAAAAGTATTACATTTCGTAATTTTTCCGGGTTTTCTTACGTTTTTTCCCGGTTTTCCCCAGTTATTATGAAAACCACTTGAAAAATCAAAAAAATACCCCTTAATTACTACCCAAATAAAATTTCTTTTCAGAAATGTTGCTACACTTGAAAATTGTTAACAATTTGAAACAATGTTATTCTGACAGTTAGAACCAAAGTTACGAAAAATTCTAAACTAAATTAAAGTATAGGATTTTTTCCGTTTGAATTCATCAAAACATTCATCATTTTTAACCAAAAGCTATACTGGGAAATTGGATTTCTATATAAATCTAACATTTTGGTTCTTAGAGGTGTATTATAAAGTTAATTTTGACAAAGCTGAACAGTAATTAGTTCAGAAGTTAAAAGTTAAATTAAAAATTATATTTTTGGTAGTTAATGAACAAAGTGTTAGATAATAACTTGATTATTTATTTTAATAACAAATTCAAACGTAACTTAATTATTTTAATTTAAATGCAAGTTATTTACGAGTTTTTGTAACAATAAAAAAAAAAACCGTGTATCTACCCATGTTTTATTTTATGCATCTATATTTTGATGTAACCATGTATTTTTACGTGAATCGCACTCTTATCACATAATAAGAAAAAGCAGATACAAAAATTTAGAATACTCACATGAGTCTTATACATCATCATGTCTAATAAAGACAAACATTTAAGAATACAAAATACGTTGATCAAAAAATGTAACTGAAGTACAAAGCCTTAACCAGGTTATTATATTATGTTCTTGAAAACATAAAACTTATCTCGGTTCTTCAAATTCATTTATATTTTGATATTAATACTAACTTAGCTTAGCTTGTTATTTTTTTTTTCAAGATAACATAACTTAAACTAGGTAGTTAAAAAAAATCGGTTAACTTGCTCATCTTGAATTTACGAATTTGCGCGTTTATTGCCAATTTTGTCTATATTATATGAAAAACACTACACACATTGTCTGCGACAGCGATTCATTTGTTTATTGTTATGCGATTGTATTATTACAATTATAGGTAGTAGTTAATTATTAGTTGGGAGTAATTGCGTTCTATTGCACAAAAACGCGCTCTGATTAATAGTGTTTGTATATTATTTCGTTGTCGTTTAACTAAATATAATATGTAACCAGTTGTTACTTTCTAGCTGATAAGTAATAGAAAGCACTTAACTGTTATAATGACGTGAGTGAAGGTGGTCCGGAGCTAAATGCATAATTAATATGAAAGCACGTGTCCGAGTACAATAACAATATTCTAACAAGTACATTTATATAAAATTTAAACCATATATAAACTTACTGGGAAAAAACTAGTTTTGGGTACCACCGAAATATTATTGATTTATAATGTATAATATGATTCGTAGGAAATATGTACAAAATCAGAGAGCTGGAAAATAAACTACAATGTTTCAATAATATTGTTATTAATTTATTAATTAGTAACAGTATATTTACTGTCAGAAAAATGAATACACAACGATATTATATTGGTACATTTATCATTATTTCATATAGATCATTATATTAATTATATTAATCATTTAGATTTGGAGCAGAGAACGGATCGATCGATCTAGCAGTTTCATAATAATTGGACAGATTCCTACACATACTTAATCACCTAAACTTAATTAAAAAAAAAAAAAAAAAAAAAAAAAAACAAAACAAAACAACTTTTAATAGATGATCACTTCATTAAATTTGTTTGTATCAAAAAATGCTATGTTATAATGCAATATTATGTAGACAAGCGATTTTTAGAAATTATAAGAAGTGTCGGCAGAAACACGGTAATTTTTGAATTTGCCTGCACATGGTGTCTTAAATCTGAGCAAATGAATAATAATACAAATCAATCGTATATGGATTTGGTCGACTTTTAATCACTGTAGGTTATAATAAGGGCCGGCAGTAATATGCCCTACAACACTATTAAATATTTTTCGCAGTTATTGGCTATAAATTGCCAAAATCAATTGCGTATTTAGGATTTTGTCAAGGAAGGATATATTGAATTTGAAAATTGTGTTATATTATTAATCAAGTATAAATCTAGCCGCCTTTGTATTCTAGCGGTTTGAATGTAGGTTTCGTTTTAATAAGAAAATGTATTATATACGTTCAGGTTTTCTTAAGAAATTAACATTATTAACGACAATAGTAGGTATATAACGACATATTAAATTTTTTATTTTTCCGAATAGAAAGTAAAGGAATTCGAATTATAAAATAAGGCAGTCATGTAAACAATATATCTCCCTAATGCTCCCTCCCTGGATTTTACCACTGAGTCCAAAATATACCCTTTAAATATGCTATTAAAAAAAATATTGAAAAAAACATTAATGAATTCTAGTATTTTATCGCATATTTTACAAAACAATATATATCCATCCAAAGAAAAAATATTTTCACTATATTCAAACTGTACATCATACTAGTCATACACGACTTGTGTTTGAAATTTTTAATTTCGTTAGTTAAAATTAAATTAAAACAATAACAACAATTAAAAATAAAAAAATCGATTGATTAAACGCATCACATAAGTAAACCACTAATGAATAAAATGCAATTTAAGTCATACATAGGTACAATAAAATGTGTAGACAAGAAATTATGCGAAACAATAGTGTGACGAAAGGTAATCTAACTTACTGATAATAGTATTAATAAATTGAATAACCCTTAACAACTTATGTGAAACAAATAAATCAATATTATTTAGTATATTATCAGTTTGTTTGTTAAATTGTGATATTCAAAATCTTGACTAATTATTTTGCGATTTTTATTTTTTCGAGTTGATTATGTCATACAAATTTAATAAATAATACATATACTCTTCAAATTCATGATATCGGTGAAAAATGCTCTAAAACAGTGTTTCTTAAACTGTATTTCTTGGAAACTTTTTAAATTCCTTTTAACGATAGCAATAATGAAAAAAATAAGATACCGACATACTTCGCACAATGAGTAGGCCACTGTTGTAGATGGGAAGTTGTTAAGGTAGAGGGAAACATTAACGAAAAACGATTCTGAGCGGAGTTCGGTTATGAGTGATGCTTCGTTAACAATATATGTATCTATTATTATGATAAAATAATTAAATACTACGCATTGTATATTTTCTTTAATAATGTACACATTTTTCCGTTTTTCCTGACTTTCTTCTCGGTTCTTTCCATTTATTATTAAACCACTGAGAGGATCTAAAAATGATCTTCCTAAAATATCGCCCCATTCAGATTTCTTAAAAAAAAAAATAAATAAATAAACATTGTAAGACCAATTCAATACTATGCCTCGTCACGTGTGCACGTATAATAATTTATTTAATTTATTAAAATAGTATTACTATCGATATGAGTAGTAAACCAAATTAATTAATTCTTTTTAAATAAAAATAATATTTTATATTTTCGGGTTACAAAAAAAAATATGTTATTGTTTGGGGTTCTGAAATCTTAAAAAGTTTTCTTAAAATATTGTTACCTAAACTGTTTTTAACACAGCACTAAAAATATTTAAATGAATACAAATTTTGTGTCTAGTTATAGTTGAAATTGCGACGGTCTTCGTGATAAAAGTTCCGTGGAATATGAACACGGAAAAAAAATTAAAAACCCGTGGTTATATTATTATACGGGTAGGTAGTTTCTACTGTGGAATATTGTTTTTAGAGCGCGTTAAAGGTCGGTAATTTTTTTTATTAAATTTCCGTAAAGGATCGTTATTGCTGTATGTAATCAATTCGACAAAATGCTATTCGCTCAAACCCCCTTTTATGAAATACTGCTTTTTGTTTTGTTTTTTAAAATTAATTTTAGAGTTTATAAAATATGTGATCAATCGTATTGTATTAAAAAATTTATAAACGCTTATAGGTATAATATTATTGACTAATAAAATGATTCTTGCCAATTTTCAAAGTACCATCGTTAATTTATTATTATGTTCATTTTACTCGGTACCTACTCTAATTTGTTTTAGATTCTGAGTGTAACGAGGGAGCTCTTTGTTTTACTAAGATGTTTTTCATCGTTTGTTTTTGTTTCTCCTAGTCCGTGGAAACTTTTTTCTAGTAAACTTGGTCTGATATTTACATGTAGCACTTTTTCTGAAAGCTCAAATTGTCTGAACTTTGGAGTGGTAATTTTTTAAATAAAAGCACTTAAGTGGCAAAAAACATATGAAAACGTATAATTTCATTATTTTATAAAAACACGGATGTCATTTTCTACCAGAAAAAATGATTTAATCGAAAAATCACAAGAATAATCGCCTTTTTTGATTTACTTTCTTACGGTATCATTGCCAAAATTGTTGAGCCACCGATGAGCTTTTTAAGAATTTTTATTTCGAGAGTTTATTTTGCTGTTATTCTGTTGTATATACACGTATTATTAGTAATAATAGTTAATAACAGTGAATAGGTAATAATAGTTAAATTAGACTCACCAGACATGGTTAAATTTTTAATATCATTGAATGACTTTTTTTCCTTTTTTTAATTTTTATACAATGGTACTTAATGGTTTCTTTTTTACTTTCGACCACTTTTATTCTTGAATACTTTCTCCAATATATAAGTGTAGCACAATATCCGAAAGTAAATTTTTTCTACCAGGTAAATACATAGGTCATTTTTTGATTTTTAAAACGGTTCTAAAATAAAAAAAATTTTCTGAGAAAAAAAAATACGAATTTTTCACGGTTTTGTTATTTTAAATAAGTACCTACCACGTTTTCTTACACAGATATAGCTCCAACTGAAAACGAAAAGAAACTTTTTATTGTTGAGTTATTAATCTTGTTTTTCATGATAAAGTTCATTTTAATGATATTCAAATAAGTTTTTATAATAATCAGGAAAAAACATATGAAGGTTAGGTTAAAAAAAATTACGGCACTTCAAATTAAGTATTCATGAATTGCTCTTGGAATCATCTTTCGTCAGCAATGGTTTATCGTTGCTTACAGATATAAATGAAATAACCTTATGTATCCTACCTTCCCAACTTCTCATCTACAAAAGTAGCCGCACCCGTCCCAAGTATCGGCTCTTTAATTTTTATGATATTGTATCAGACACACTCAACACAATTATATTCGTTTGAGAGTACCTGCTATACGTGGTACCTACAGTCACTTATAGATGAGTAATGATTTGAAGAGGTGCTGAGTACTTCAAAAATGTAACCTTAAATCATACAAATTCTCAGCTATTATAATATAATTTAAAATTTATGTACTTATTACGTAAATAATAAACCTCGTATTGATTCGTATTGGTTTGATTGATTTGAGAGAAAGTGGGTGGGCCATCTTCACAATCATAAGTTCTCAGTTATTATAATATTTTTTTAGATTTACACATTCATTACGTAACTAATAATTCATAAAAACAATATTATTAAGAAAAGAACAACGAAAAAAGTCGAGAAGTTAGGATACATAGAGTTATTAAACTTTTATATCAAAGTTCAGTTAATATATATTGAAATGTCATAAGTTGTAAGATTTTATGAACCCCGAGTTCAATTTATAAGTAATATATGTTTGACCATACAATTTGTTCTGTGAAAGGAAAATAATAACTAAAAAAAAACTTAAAACTGTCGAAAAGACCAGAAATCGCTAAAATGTTTTGAACATTTTATCAAGAAAAAGTTAATATAACTATTTTAGAAAAATGTCAGCGTAATTTTTACTATATTACAAAAAAAAAATACCTAAAATAATGAAACCGTAAACATTAATTTATTACATTGTGTTTTTTTCCAATTTTTAAGAAAATTGCTTGAAAAATCAATATGAACAGCTATACATTGTCGTATTCGATGCTTTTATGAATATATATTGCAGTAATTACAAAAAAATACTAAGGGTTGCTAAGTACAGGAATTAATTAAGCACGTGAGTATATAAGTGTAAATCATCTAGACAGTACTAAAGTATGTTATCGGTAATCTCGTAGAAATAGAAAACCATCAAAGTATCTGAGATAATATCCACACAGATTTTACAGACAATATACATTTGTATCTTAATAATTTATTTAAAATGTTAAAATATAATTGGTATGTTATAGAAAACCTTATACTATAATAACACATTAAGTCAAGCCGATGGAAAATCATAAAAATAAAAACAAATATGACGTGTATCGATCAAGTAAAAAGGTAAATACCTAAGTACCTAATACTTATACATGGACAGCGAGAAACAGTGTTCTACACTTTTGAGTTTTCTCACATACGTTAATATAACAGGAAAACAACGATGGATTACTGTTACATTAACAATTATATCCAATTGATCCCGAGTTCTTAATAGGTGGATACTATTTGAAAATTCTGACAAGTTATTGAGTAATAATATTATTTTATTAGGTATGCAAGGGAATTCTGTGTTGGATTTTTGGCATGATGCGGTGTGTCTTTAGATAATATTTTACATTGATAAGGATTATTTACGTTTTATGGTCCAAGAAGAAAACGGCCACCGAAACATGATCGAACATATTTATTGTTAAGATTTTGGGTAATCTACTGTTAAGATACGATATCAATTGATTAATAATCCGAATAAATAGAATATTATTCGACTCTATGAGTCACATCTCTTGTAAAAATGTATTTTAATGTAATTAGGATAGGTTCGTAATTCGATGGTTTGAAACATATTAACACAGAGTGAGTATTTAAGTAGTTCGTCGGAATAAAATAATAATGTAGATAAATACACTTAAACATTTTGCTATAAATTCCCCTTTAAAACGCAGATATTATCACTTCAAGCTTATTGTGCATTCAAATAAGTTATACATTCTAGTGCATTTTGTTATAACCAAACTATTATTACAAAATGAAACTGTCGATTAATATTCTCCTAGTGTTGGTGAGTAAATATAATTTTCTTAAACAAAAATTATTTTTAATCTAATTTCTTTACTTGTGCAATAGGTGGGATTCTTAATAGTTTTCAGCTTTGAATCCGGACAATGCAGTCAAAACGAAATCGTACAACAGGTAATATTAAATTCTATTCCTACAGTATTTTAATTTAGTTTCAATTTGTGTCTGAATGCATTACCTATATAGACAATTTTTTATTTTTAGTATTTCGTGTAAACCGTGAATCGTATATTTTCACTTATACGATAGTACGTTTATACACATGCATAAATTCTTGTAGAATGTATATTTATTTTGATTTTATTTTTTTTTGTAATTTTAAAGGAAAGACTTGACTTTTGGAATCCTTTCGATTGGTGGCGTAAACATTATCATAGAAAGACATCTACTACAGAAGAACCGATCACTTCTGAATCACCATTTACCGAAGAAACCACTCCTTATGTAGGACCAACCATTACTGAAGGACCAATAACTGCTACCGAAGATCCAAGTACTACCGAAGAATCGACCACTACCGAAGAACCAGCTACCACTGAAGAACCGACCACTACTGAAGAACCAACTACCACTGAAGAACCGACCACTACTGAAGAACCGACCACTACTGAAGAACCAACTACCACTGAAGAACCGACCACTACTGAAGAACCAACAACTCCAGAAGAATCGACTACTACTGAAGAACCAACAACTCCAGAAGAATCGACTACTACTGAGGAACCATCAACTACTGAAGAACCGACTACTACCGAGGAACCAATTACTACCGAAGAACCAACAACTCCAGAAGAACCATCTACTACTGAAGGATCAACCACCACTGTAAAGCCAACTACACATAGTCATCATACCAGACATACATGGAGGTGGTATAGCAATTAATTGTTCTTCACTGTTAATAATCATGAAAAATGAAAATGGATAATTTGGGTAAAATAACCTCTAAAATGTATGTTAATATGTTATGACGGTTAATTTTCAAAAACATACATATAGAATAAACAATAATACACAACATTCATTAAATTAAATTTTTACTCTAATAAAACGTTTTATTTATTTTCTTGTCCTTGAATTGAAACCATTTTTGTTGCCTTTGGTGTAAGCCAAAAGTTTACCAGACAATTGAAAAACTGAAAAATAGTAATATTTTGGTTTTATTGTGTTAAATGAGTTAAAAAAATAAAATCAAACAAAAATGGTATATTTTGAATGTGGTATATTTGAAAGAATGTAAATTTACTTTTAAATTGTCTATACATAATATGAAAGTGAAATTTATTCGAATTTTAAGCAAAAAAATTTTGTATATGTTTTTATCTCTATCGAAATTTCTTACCGTAGGTAACTTTTTGTTAAAGTGTCTAACGCATTTTTGCTGATTTGAAGAACCTAAACTTTGTAACTTACCATCGTTTCGATTAACTATCTGGAAAATCGTAATTTTAATTATTATTAATAGTAACATACGAGTACAGTTTTGTTTTAAAAATCATTTTTTACTATGTTATTACTTTGTTTCTATAATTAAATAATATTTTAAGATTTTGAGATGAGTGAGGAATGTATGGATTTATAAAAGGTTTTACTTTTTAATTTTAATTCTTTTTGACAAAACTTAAAAGTTGCTAGAAAACTAGAAAAGTTTTTGAACCTTTTAATTGTTTGAAATACGTTTAAAAAAACTACATAAGTAATAATAATAAGAATTAGCTTCAATCGGGTTGCACCGACTATAAAAAATAAAAGTATTTGGATAACATAGGGAGTTGGGTGAAAATGTATTATAATAATTTATAGAGAATGGAAGGTTTCATTATATTATATTTGATAATACGTATTAATCCTGGACTAAATATAAAGACTACGCGTAATCGTAGTTAGTAGGTACCTATACCAAGTTTTTCTTTGTGGAACGTCACATAATATTATTATTTGGCCGCGGTTTACAAGCCTCGGAAAATAAATCATGAGGTGGCTTAAATTATTACAACTTTGTTTTAACGTGTTTATTTAGTGTGTTTTAAAGCGCATTAAACCTATTAAAAGTTCCATTGTCTTCAAACTTTACACGCATAACTATACAACAGATAAATACACATAAAGTGGAGACCACATTTACATTATTATTTTCATTATTGCGGTATAGATTAGACATGCCAATAAAAGTTTTAATCGAATCGATTTGAAATAGGTGAAACGATAAATTTTATAAGGCCAGTTTTTTTTATTTATTTTAAACCGCAAACCGAACTAATCTATTCGATTACTTCAACAATAACCTAGTGGTATTTTCGCTCAGATAATTTGCTAATTCTCATATACGACATTTCAACGACTCTCTTTGTTTTTTTTTTTTTTTTTTTTTTTTCAGAGTGCTTGTTCAAGTTAATTTTAAATAACACGATTGTTGACAATATTATACATATAAAATTACCTCAAAAAGTTTAGTTAAAAAAAAAAATACAAATTCGGCTAATGTACATCTTATGTCGTGTTCCGAGTGTAATCGGTTCCTTGTTTTGTTAATACTAATTATACAAAGGAAATACAATACATATATATAGAAAAAAAAGGACAGACATACTTCGCAAGTGGGCACAGGCATTGTTGTAGGTGGAAAGTTTGAAAGGTAGGGTACAGAAGAGAATTTAATGTATATTTGTAAGCACCAATAAACTATCAGTAGAGAATAAACGATTCTTATCGTAGTTCAGTTGATAGTGTTGCTTTGTCAACAATATATATGTTATATTATGGTAAAATGATTAAATAGGCATTAAATATTTTCTTTAATAATATTTGTTTATCATTGAACCAATTTTCCCCTGATTTTTCCCATTCATTAGGAAAACTCCTGGAAAAAACTGAAAAACTACTTCTTTAAAGTAACTTCTCAGTAAGATTTACCTTCAGAAAACTTGCTATCATTTAAAATCGTAGCAAAATTTACCTGGTAAAAAAGTTGTATACTGAGAAAAAAAGCCATAATATTTTTTTACTGATACCTATATTTCATATAGACGTATAATTCCGTTTTTCCGACATTCTATCCAGGATTTTTTCCAGATATTATGAAAACTGGTTGAAAATTTAATAAACGACTTCTCTAAGTTATTATGGAAATAAGATGTGCTATCAGAAAATAAGCTACACTTGATATATCGGAGCAAGATTCCTGATAGTTTGATAGTTCGCAAAACAAATCGAGGGATATTTTGTAATTAAAATATTCCAAGAAAGCTATAACTTGTGTTTCTAGGTACATATAAAATGCATTTGTTTTTTCCTTGTTTAGGAATAAGAAAAAAAAAAAAAATGCAAAAAATTATTTTTCGGTCAGTGGTGTGAACTCGGAACTCCTTGATTCTAAAAGGCATAAACAACCGTTAGATCACGACAAATATACTTTAAGAAGGGCAATATAAAGTTAAATTACATAACATATAATATATGCCTAATATCAGGACTTCAAAAATCTATAATTTCGAAACATATTTGGTCCGCTTAATTCTGATTTCATCATCGTTCTCAAATCGGCAATATACATATGTTCAAAAAAAAAAAAAAAAATTAAAAAATTAGATTTGTTTCGCATTTTCCCGACAAAATTTGATATTAAAATTCTCTTATAAAAAAAAATACTACATTAAACTCAATTTATTTTTAATCACAAATTGAGATTCTTAATAAACCTCTAGTTAAAGTTTGAAGCATTTCTGTTCAAGTCTAACAATTTTACCACAGAGTAAAAATTACGTACATAACTTTTATTATTAAAATGTCTATAAATACCTCAAACATAACTTGAATTGCATGAAAATTTTACCACGGTTAGAAAATGCAATTATAAGTATTTTAATCAAATTTTAAATCTATATAATATAGATTTTTTTTTTTTTTTAAATTCCCTGGGGCTTTATAATTTAGATACGAATATTTTTACCTGTATTTCAACAAAAATATTAATATTTTTTTAAAAAGCTTATGGACCATATGTTTTAAACATTTTACCATGTATAGAAAGACAAATATGCGTTTTCTGTCCAAGTATAAAGTCTCTATGAATATTTTTAACTGAATTACAACAAATAACAATTGAAAATTAATAAATACATTTTTGTGAATTTCCCGTTTTACTTATGTTTTATCTGGGTTTTTCCAAGATATTATGAAAACCGCTTGGAAAATCAAAAAATTATCTTGAAAAGTTTATTAAGACAACATTCCTTTTCGGAAATAACGCTTTGCGTATATATCTGATCAAGATTTCTGGTCAAATTTTTGTGCAAAGGATAAAAAAATTAAAAAATTAACATCTTGGTAAAACTTACTACACTCAGAATCTAAAATTGTATTATTATTTCATTTTTCTTTTTAATAATACTACAACCAAAACACGAGGTAACTCATGCTTTTAATAACATCACGATGCAATAATATAATGGTAGTAATTTGAAAAGGTAATTATTCGTTACTTTACGTCGAAAATCGTTTTAAATTTTCCGCAAACGCTAAAAGTTTCGAATATTTTTCACGGTAAACTATAAAAACGTTCGGTTTTGTTTTTTATTTTCTAACGTAACGGTAAAAGTATATGCATAATTGTTTAATGAGCGAAAAAAATGATTAAAAAAAATTAAAAAACAAACTTCATAGTAACACAACAACATGCCAGACTCCTAATGGATGTGATATTCCTATATTTTTATTTCGAAAGTTTTTTCCTTTTTATAGGTGACACCAAACTATTGTTATACTACTAAATTATTACTATTCGATGCATCATTCGTAACGTGTCACATTGGTGGACCCACCGCATGTAGCGTATTAATATGATGTGACACATTATCCCTAATATTGANTTTGTGTCTGAATGCATTACCTATATAGACAATTTTTTATTTTTAGTATTTTGTGTAAAACGTAAATCATATAGTTTACTTCGTACAATATTACGATTATAAATATAAGTCAATTCTTGTATCTAACAAAAATCTAGAAGGTATATTTATTTTGATTTTATTTTTTTTGTAATTTTAAAGGCAAGACTTGACTTTTGGAATTCTTTCAATGGGTGGCGTAATAATTATCATAGAAAGATACCTACTAGAGAAGATCTCACCACTTCTGAATCACCATTTACCAAAGAAATTACTCCTTTTGAAGAACCAACCATTACTGAAGGACCAATAACTGCTACAGAAGATCCAAGTACTACCGAAGAACCAACCACTACTAAAGGACCAATACCTACTAATGAAGAACCGACTACCACTGAAGATCCAAGTACTACCGAAGAACCAACCACCACTAAAGGACCAATACTTAATGCTGAAGAACTGACTACTACTGAAGATCCAAGCACTACCGAAGAACCAACCACTACTAAAGGACCAATACTTACTAATGAAGAACCGACTACTACTGAAGATCCAAGCACTACCGAAGAACCGTCTACTACCGAAGAATCGACTACCACTTAATAACCATCAACTACTCAATAACCGACCACCACTGTAAGGCCAATTACACATTGTTACCATAACAAACACACAAAATAAAAAATACGAATTGGTAATTTAAGTAAAAATGTACACTAAATTATATGTTAATAAGTTATGACAGTTGATTTTCACATAAATAACACCAAAAATACATATAGAAACAAAACATCCGTTGAGTTATATTATTACTCTAATAAAACTTTTTTTTTTTTTTTTTATCCCAATATTAAAAAGCATTTTAGTTGTCGTTGTTGCAACTGAAAGATAAAAATTTGAAAAATAGTGTTTTTTGGGTTTTATTCTATTTAAAGATTAGAAAAAAAATCAAACAAAAACGGTATATTTTAAAATATAGTATATTTTAAAGAATGAAATTTTACATTTAAATCTTCTATGCATATTATGAGAGTGAAATGTATTCGAATTTCAAGCAAACATTTAGTATATGTTTTTATCCCTACCAAAATTTCTCACCGTAGGTAAATTTTTGTTACAGTTTTTAACGCGATTTTGCTGATGTAAAGAACACAAACTTTGTAACTTACCATTGTTATGATTAACAATCAGTAAAATTATTTATTTATTATTATTAATTGTAACATACAGTATTGTTCCACAAATAATTTTTTACTATTTTATTATTTTTATTCTATAATCTCGCAAATTATAGAACTATTAGTTATCATTGATATATCAATAATATTTAAAGATTTTGAGATAACCGAGGAACGTCTTTGTTTAAAAAAGGTTTTATTTTTTAATTTTAATTTTTGTTGATTTAAACTTGAGTGAAATTCGCTCAGAGGTGTTTTTCCTTAGCAATGATTTATCATTTCATGCAGATATAAATTAAATAATTTTACATATCTTACTTTTCCAACTAATCGTGATGCAAAAGGGGCACATTCATACCTACTATAAGCTCTTTTTAATTTTACTCATATGTTACGTGTGTTTTTTCGTTTGTCGAATTTGTTATAATCATAAAATCAAATAAGGAACAACCAAGGATTTTTCAAACTACCATGTATAGATATAAAAGGTATAATTTGGGCTTCTCTTACATATGCGTTCACATAGCAACTACTAGCTAAAGAGAATTTAGAAAAGTTTTCAAATCTTTTAATCACATGAAAGACGTTTGAAAAAACTACAAAATTAATAATCATAATAATTAGTTTTTTCGCTCGGATAGCTCACTATTTCACACTCACCACATTTCAACGACTCGCATTGTTTTTTTAGATTCCGAGTGTAGCACAGGAAATATTGATTTTACTAAGATGTTTATATCTTATTTTTTCTTTTTATCTTTGGTTTAGTCTTTTGACACGTTGTTTCATAGTGGTCTGGCTCCGATATTTACGTGTAGCAACTTTTACGAAAGCTTATATTATCTCAATTGTATTTTAAAGAAGTCATTTTTAATTTCTACGTTTTTTTAAAAATAAAAGAACTTAGGTAGAAAAAAGGGTAGGAAAACGTACGATTTCACGATTTCATTAATTTAGAAAACACGGACGACGTTTTCTATCAGAAAAAATAATATACTCGATAAACCACAAGAAAAATCGCCTTTTTTTGTTGCTTTTTTGATTTACTTTTTCACAGTATCATTCCTAAAACTCTTGAGCTACTTTAACGCCTGAAACGAAAAATGAGCTTTTTTTTTGCGAAGTATGAAAAAATAATGCATTTCGTATTCAACTTCGGACTCCACACGTTAAAAATATTATGTGATGTTATCGATTTTCATAAAAAAGGCGATACGAATAAATAATTACAACTCGACTATATAGCAGGTGCAGAAGGCCCCAATACCGCTAAAACAATATACTGCAATCATAAATTATGGACTTTATTGCGTTAGATCTTCGGAAATAAATTAAATTTTTTGAAAATTGTTTCGGTTCCTATTGCACAAAGCCGCGTAATATATATATTTATTATATGTACAGTTGTCGTAGCACAGGTATATATTGTATAAATTAATTTCAACTTTTCAAACGCGGAGCGAAATTTCTAACTATAACTCGATTAACAAAAGTATTATGCGTGGTCTCACGATATTTCGTTTGGCGTGAACGGTATTATTAATTTTTTATGCGGTCCGTATAAATCGATCGAATTGAACATCACGCGGGGTGAGTGTTAAGTTAGTTTTCGGTATCGGTTTTGATATTTTACAGTATTTTGATGGTTGGATAATAACGAAAACAAATATTGTTAATTTGTATGGTTATTGAGGAAATTAAACAAAATTGTTTTCGATTAGTAATCATGTGTACAAAATAATCAATATTATAAAAACTAAAAAGTTACTATAACTCTTATAATGTAAAGAGTATAGTTCATAAAAAACTTATAAAAAAAATATATTATATAATAATAAAATATATATAGTGCGGTAAACGGGTTTTATTTATAAGTAAATTTACGTGCCACTTATTAATATATTGTGTACTTAAAACAAACAGAGAAAACTAATTTAAAATGACGGCATCTTAAAAGAGGTCACGTACTCAGTTATTAATTGTTTGTAAAAATTTAAAGCAGGATTATTCAAATTTTACGTTCTACAAAATGAAACCATTTCTATCAAAATGTTGATTTAAAAATGAAGAATATCACGTCTTTACGGGGTACATAACGAAGATGTATCCATTGTTATATTTCCGGAGATAATAAATATAGTCAAATTTTGTAATTTTTTTTTTGTTTTTTTTATATATATAAACACAGTGATAAGGAGTATTAATATTTTTATGTATCTGTTCATTTTTTTTTTATGTTTTGGATAAAAAATGAAAAAAAAAATGTTTTCATTTTATATTCATCAAACATTTTGAAAACAGCCATTTTTAAAATTTATTTTTCTAGATGTTGACGTTTAAAATTATTAATTTGATTAAATTCGTGGTTTTCAACAAGTTTTTAAATTTCAGATAAAATAAATATTAAAACAAATCAACTGTATATAGATGTGGTCAATTATTAATTACAGTAAGTTATAATTAGGGCTGGTTGTAATATTCCCTAATATCTTATTAAATGTTTTTGCAGCTATTCCATATAAATTACCAAAATCAGTTGTGTATCTAGGATTTTGCAAAGGGGGAAATATTGGATATAAACATTGGATCATATTGTAACATTACTCAGTCTAAAAAAATGAGAAATTTTTAATTCATTAAATTTATTATATAATTACTATTATTAATTGATTTTTTAATTCTAGGCACTAATCAAACCACCTTTATATTTTAGCGGTTGAAATGCAAGTTTCGTTTAAACAAAAAAATGTATTGTATACTTACAGGTTTTCTTAAAAGCTTTTTTTTAAACAGTGTTCCGTGGAAATTTTTTAATTCTACACCTCCTTATTATAGAAATTCTACAAAAATTAACCTTTTAACGATAACAATAATGGAAAAAATAAGATACCGAATTGCTTAACACGATGAGTGGGCCACTGTTGTAAATGAGAAGTTGTTAAGGTAGAGGGGACATTTAATATATCAACGATTAACCATTGCTATCAAAAAACGATTCTGAGCGAAATTCGGTTCTAAGTGTTGCTTCATCAACAATATATTTATACATTATTATGATAAAATAATTCCACAATACACATCATATATTTTCTTTAATAATGTACCTATTTTGCTATTTTTCTTGAGATTTTTCACGGTTTTTTCCATTTATTATTAAACCACTGAGAAAATCCAATAATGAACTTCTTAAAGTACCACTTCATTCAGATTTTTTTAAAAAATAATAAATAAACATTGTAAAACCAATTCAATACTATCCTCGTCACGTGCGCACGTATGACAATTTATTTAATTTATTAAAATAGTATTACTATCGATATGAGGAGTAAACCAAATAAATAAATTTTTTTTAAATAAGAATAATATTTTATATTTTCGTGTTCAAAAAAAAATATGTTATTGTTTGGGGTTCTGAAATCTTAAAATATTGTTACCAAAACTGTTTTTAACACAGCTCTAAAAATATTTAAATGAATACAAATTTTGTGTCTAGTTATAGTTGAAATTGCGACGGTCTTCGTGATAAAAGTTCCGTAGTATATGAAAACGGAAAATAAATTAAAAACTCGTAGTTATATTATTATACGGGTAGGTAGTTTCTACAGTGGAATATTGTATTTAGAGCGCGTTAAAGGTCGGTAATTTTTTTTTATTAAATTTCCGTAAAGGATTGTTATTACTGTATGCAATCAACTCGACAAAATTCTATTCGCTCATACCCCTTTTTTTGAAATACTGCTTTTTGTTTTGTTTTTTAAAATTAATTTTAGAGTTTATAAAATATGTGATCAATCGTTGTGTATTAAAAAATTAATAAACGCTTATAGGTATAATATTATTGAATAATAAAATGATTCTTGCCAATTTTCAAAGTACCATCGTTAATTTATTATTATGTTCATTTACTCGGTACTCTAACTTGTTTTTTCTTATTTTGTTGTGTCAAACACACTCCACACTTTAATATTCGTGTTTGTGAGCACCCGCTCACATTACGTTTAGGGTACCTACAGTCACTTACAGATGAGTAATGTTTTGAAGAGGTGTTAAGACACTTCAAACATGTAACTGTGAATCATACAATTTCTTAATGATCGTGAAGATGGCCCACCCATTTTCTCTCAAATCAATTTTACCCAAACCAACATTTAGCAAATAATTTTCAAAGATTATCCAGTTAGGTTTAATAACCTAACTTAATAATTTATTTGCAAGTCTTTTTTTTTAAGTACAGAACAACAATGACGAAAAGTGGAAAAACTTGACGTAGCCAACCTTTTTTCACCCACACATCGAGACTGATTTCGTTCGATTCCTTATAATTAACAAGTAAATGCAAGTCTATAAAAAAAGTTGGTGAGTCCAACCTACAACGTGTGTTATATTATTAAGTTTGTGGGCCAGCCCACGTTTTTTCACCAAATAAAAATGTATTTGTCTCTAATTTATTATACTTTTAGAATACTCAAGAGTATAATAAAATGATAATAACAATTAATAGTGTTACATTTAGCTCTGCCAAAATATTTTATTTACTAATAACAATAAAAATATATAAACTTATGTTTTTTATGAATTAACAGTTCGTCATTCATCGTTCGGAAAATATGAGGAAACGTTAGATTAATTTTATAAAAATACGTCCTTGGATATTGTGGACGGGTGCAGCTACTGTTATAGATTTTTCAATGTACACCTGTAAACAACGATAAACCATTGCTTACGAAAAAACGATTCAGAGCGAAGTTCTGTCGATAATGATGCTTTGTCAACAATTTTAAATTCTTGGGAAAATTGAAAAATGACCTCTTTAAAGTACCTTGCTATTGAAATTGCCTTTAAGAAAAGGTGCTATTCTTAGAAATCCAAGCAAGGTTTCTAGAAGAACAGTTCCAACAGATAAAAAAAAAAATAAATATCTTTGTTGTCTATATGCTTCCTTGCTCCATGCAGAATCTAAAATAAAATCAAAGATCTGTTCAAATATAGTTTCTTATTGTATATATGTATATAAAAAAATAAATAACACAACATCGGACATTTTTTTTTCATTCACATTAAAAAATATAGCTAATTACGTCATTTATATATAATATAATATATTATAATATCTTTAAATTATGACTGAGAGTACAAAATATAAAACTTTATTTTTTTCTCTAAATAATTGTGTTGTTCCTAGGAATCAGATAAACGTAAGACATATGTTAGATAATGACCTAGCACATGGGCAATTGCAGCAATTAGTATGAACTTAAAATAAATACATTTGAAATATTAGTTAGAAACTTAATTTATACATTTCAATATCTCTTTCCTATATTTTTTTCTGTAATGCAACTTATTCATTTTTATCAAAATTAATCTTTCCGAATAATTCTTGAAGGTGGAAATGAAAATCTTTTCTAGGACAGAATGATTCGACGTCTACGAATAGATAAAAACTGTTCATTATAATTACAAACATGCTTAAATGGGTATATTAACATAGGGAATAACGCTGTGTTTAATCGTGTATACTAATTGAAAGGATCCTGTATTCTCTCCTGCAAATTAAAATAACAAAAAATAAAATATTATCCGAATAGTGTACTGATAATAAATTGATAAAAAAAAAACTTTCCTTAGATAGTCTAGGTACATCATATTTCAAACGCCATTAAATTTATATGATAAAACTGGGTGATGTTTATGTGGACACGGACACCTCGCCGCAAGTAGCGTATATCTATGTATTAACTAAAACCCAAAAGCTTTTTTTTAGCCCCCCCCAATCAGTTTCTATATACGCTACTCATCGATACCACTATCTGGTCAACAGACCCAGGTAATTTAAGTACTTTAATATTCACAATAAAATCCATAAAATACCTGTGAAATAATATACAATAAATTTTGAAAATTGTAAAACAAAGTAGTATCACATTTGTTAGATGAGTTATATACTTATACACTATTAGAAAGATATTAAGTATAGGAAATATATGTCAACGGTTACTATGACTTTTATTATAAGGAATCGATAATAGTTTTAAAAATGTGGATGCAAAAAGATGAATTACGTAAAGTTAATTCACCTTTTTTCATTTTTGTTCTGTATTTGAAAATAATGACTTAGCGAGATAAGCGAGAAACAGTGTTCTACACTTTTAAGTTTTCTCACATACGTTAATATAACAGGAAAACAACGATGAATTATTGTTACATTAACAATTATATCCAATTGATCCCGAGTTCTTNAAACCACGCATCATAGTGAAACCAATAAATACCAAATTATAAGCTCCGAATCTAAAAAATACGGACATAATTCTCATGGTAGTTGGGCTACTGTTGTAAGCGAAAAGTTAGAAAAGTAGGATATATATATATCATAGAATTTATTTTGTAACTGAATGCAGCGATAATATAATTGCTAACAAAAAACGATTCGGATCGGAGTTTGGTAGGGTTTTGATAAAAGGTTATTATTTACGATTTTCGTCAAAATTTGTCATTAAATATTTTATAAAAAGAAAATATTTTATTAAACACAACTTTTTATTGTTTTCTAGTAAGTAAAATTTATAATGAATCTCCCGTTAAATTTTCAATTTTTTCTGTTTGGTCTAACAAATGTATTTACAAAATTAATTCGTAAAATTAAAATGTCCCTAAGTAGCATATAATTTCTAAAATGTTTTTAAAATGTTACTACTTTTAAAAAAGTCAAATTTCAGTAAGTTTCTACTAATATTTTAAACTGAATCACAACAAAACACAAAATTAAAAACAATACAGATTTCGTAAATTGTCTTGTTTTGTCTAAGTTTTTTCATAGTTTAGGTTAGGTTATCAATTGTTATGAAAACCGCTTGAAAAACCAAAGAATTACTAGCCTAAGTACCATTCAGAAGAAATTTAATTTTAGAAAAAGCGCTACACTTGAAAATCAGACCAAACTTTCCCGTAGAATTTTCGTACAGAATCTAAAAATGTAAAGTCATAATTGTTATACTAATTATAATAATAATAGTAGTAATTAAACAAATGCGATAACAGCCTGCTGCATAATTTTTATAGGTAACCGGAATAATAATTAATATTACATAGTTATTATTATTATGAATAATATCGAATGTACGGTTTTTTATCTGAAATTAAAAAATTGTTAAAAATCACGAATTTAATAAAAATAAAAAGCTGTTTAGTCAACATTTTTAGAAGAATAAATTCTTTAA